AACATGTGCTTGAAATTTGTTTATGTACATGATGTGCGTTAATAAATGAGAATGAGTCTAATACTAATACATTAAATAAAACCTAAATTTTAGGCTATGCCTAATTTAATAATTTAGTCAATAATAATTAATCGGCTATAGGGTCCAAGCCTAATATGTTTTAGGTCTAGACTAGGTCTAGGTTAGTTAATATTAGATTGAGAGTGACTAATTAGACTGTATCCTGTATATGATTAAAATATTAATTGTATAAAAACTTTATTCGTGAAGTACTCATTTTAGTCTTAGTTTTAGGGCAGCTTGCTTAAGCCCATACTTAGTAGGCCTACTTTATATTAACGAATTTTACAAAAATGCAAGTTATATTTTTTTTTTAAATAGGTCTATAATATTAGGTAATTCACATAGCGGCGCGCGCCGATAGATTTCTAGGATGCCGGAAACGGACCATAAACCCGTGACCGGTCAATGTCGGTAGGTCACGGGGTCATATGGAGATCTAGTTTCCTTTGTCTACTTAAGAGAGTGGCAATGAATTCATTACAGTCTGTTTTGTGCACACGAGGAGGACGATCATTACAACATAAACTTAGGGATTCTTTCACTCCTGTATTTTCAGAAAGAAATTATTTTAATTATGTAAAACTTGTTTATTTGTTCAAAAGCCGGTGATCGGCTTGGGGATCGAGATAACGGACTAAAGTTGCAAATTTGGCCGCCTTTTGTGCTCGAGATCTCAGGGTTCGGCGACATGAAAGAATCGACATAACCGAGGAGAAAATGCTAAGACAAAGAGAGACTTGGCGGTTCCACTTCAAAAACGTCGACATAACGGGGTTGGTGAGTTAAACTAAGTCGAGATAAGCGGGTTCGACTGTATTTTTAAACAACAAAAATAACAGTTGAGATGGTAAAACAGTCATTAGACGACCCTATTTCTACTTTGTCAAATAAGAGTGCTCTGTTAAACTTGTTGAAATGAGAGTGTTGCGTTAAACTTTTTTCAAATAAGAGTGTTGGGCTAAACTTTGTCAACTAAAAGAGTGTTTTAATGCAGACAAATATATTGAATAGGTGTTGGTTGAATGTAAGTTTGGTTGAATGGAATTTTTGTTGAATGGATGTTTTGTTAAATAGATGTTTTGTTGAATGAATTGTATCGTTATCTTGATTTTGGTTTAACTGAAAGTTGACATCAGTGCGTGATCCTTGCTATAATAAACAATAGATAATAGGTTTAAACTACTCCTAGTTCTTAAAAAAACAAAAGCCATTGTTCGTGTCACAGCACGACCGTCACAAATGTTGTGCAATGTATGGCACGGTGACATGAATTGTTCAAACTGAGGTTTTGTCCGCCGGCAGCGGCTGTTTGCCAACAGCGGTCGTGCTCCGCGACTTGGCCAGTAAAAACATAACCACTGAATACATAGTATACGTGAAACCGCATACTATGGTGACTCGAAAGCTTTCAAGTGTTGGAAATTAAGAAGATGCTACTTTTCTTTAAACATATACCGTATGCTTGCATCTACCTTACGTAAACTGGTCGCTACAAAAAGTTACGGCACTAGGTTGGTAGAATAAATTATTTGATTAAAACATTCGGACTGCAGAAAACTATAGTGTTTATTTAATACTATTCCTAAATGTGTTTTTGCTGGTTTCTATTAAACCATGGCATGACAAAATTGGTGACAGCCGAATGTCAAGAGTCAAAATACGTTTCCACAAACCTTTTTCAGACAAACAACTCTTCTTTTTTTTTCTTTTCTTTTTTTTTCTTTTCTTTTTTTTTCTTTTCTTTTTTTTTTAAACGTTTCCCCAAAGCCCCCCCCCCCTTTTTTCCAAAACGTTCATCATAATGCACAAAGTACATGCCAACGCTGTCACCGTGAGCCTACTCTGTTCCAATCATTGCCATCAAGTCACCGTCTAAATCTAATCCCATTTCTGAGATACTGACAAGCTTGTCAAAGGGGTTCCTTTCACGTTGCGTTTCCTTCTATCGGACGCATGCTGATGCTGGCGTGCACTGGGGTTGTTGTGTTTTCCAGAAGGTCGATATGTCCAATGTGTAAGACGTACAAAGGAAAACGAGCGGACACTATGACGACTTTCTATGTTGTCTTTGTTCCTTTCATCCCAACGGAAATTGCTTTAATGTGGCTCAACACTGCAGCCAGGTAACATGACAGCTTAGGCAGATTGCTTGGGGCAATTTTTAGAGGGGGCGGGGGGATACGATCTTATTCTTATAATAATATTCGAGTCAGTTGCACTGCTTATAGCTGGATGTATTTTTTATTTATTTTTTTTTTGGCTTACGTCAGTTTTACCTGCCGGAACTTAAATGGCTGCTTCAACGGACGCATCTGAAAACGAAGTTTGTGCTAGAAAATAAAAACGCAAATGGCATGATTTTATTGAGGTGCTATGCATCTTGCACTGTTGCAAGCCCCCCCCCCTCCTCTCCACCACACACACACACACAACTTTTTTTTTTCAAATTCTCAAGTGGCATTGTGGGGCATTCAAAGATTTATGGCTGCTTCAACGGACGCATCTGAAAACGAAGTTTGTGCTAGAAAATAAAAACGCAAATGGCATGATTTTATTGAGGTGCTATGCATCTTGCACTGTTGCAAGCCCCCCCCCTCCTCTCCACCACACACACACACACACAACTTTTTTTTTTCAAATTCTCAAGTGGCATTGTGGGGCATTCAAAGATTTGAGCGACTTCCTAATATCTCCTGAAGACTTCCTTAATATCTCCTGAAGACTTCCTAATATCTCCTGAAGACTTCCTAATATCTCCTGAAGACTTCCTAATATCTCCTGAAGACTTCCTAATATCTCCTGAAGACGTCCTAATATCTCCTGAAGACTTCCTTATATCTCCTGAAGACTTCCTAATATCTCCTGAAGACTTCCTAATATCTCCTGAAGACTTCCTAATATGTCCTGAAGACTTCCTAATATCTCCTGAAGACTTCCTAAAATCTCCTGAAGACTTCCTAATATCTCCTGAAGACTTCCTAATATCTCCTGCAGACTTCCTAATATCTCCTGAAGACTTCCTAATATCTCCTGAAGACTTCCTAATATCTCCTGAAGACTTCCTAATATCTCCTGAAGACTTCCTAATATCTCCTGAAGACTTCCTAATATGTCCTGAAGACTTCCTTATATCTCCTGAACGTTATTGTGACAAAAGGCTAACGATATGTATCGACCCTCTGTCTAAACTCATTATATTGCTCATACGTCACAGAGACAAGAAATCCACCGATCTGAACCAGCGTCATAAATGATGATGGGCCCTATTGATCAAGCGTCAAAAAAATGAATGGCCCTAATAATCAAGCGTCTTAAGTGATGATGATGATGATGACTGAGTACTTTTATAGCGCTTGTGTCCATGCTATTTTAGCATGCTCAGAGCGATCTGATGTCCTAATACCTAATACTTAAAGAAAAATGTCTTTAAATGGTTCTTGATTATATTATTTTTAATTTATTTCCCTCAAAGATTGTGGCAAACTGTCCCACAATTAAGGCGCAACAGCTTCAAAAGAGCGCACTTCGTAAGACTTATTTCTGTGTCCATGTACATCCACACTGGGAACCCTCGGTAAGGACTGTGTTGAAGAGCGCAGGTTCTGTGTGGATGCATGTTTAGAAATCAGTTTTTGAAGATATACAGGTGCAGAGCCTTCTATGCAGCTATACAGCTATACGCCAGGGACAGAATGTTAGGCTCTAATAAATCGTTTACGTACATACCCCAGTGTTTGGTATTTACCGTATTCTGACGTAATATTTAATTTAAAAAAATGAATTGTTTCGGCCACTGAGTTCTCATGACAAAACCTCAGATACAGGGTGAAGATTTTGAATTTAAACTTTTGTAATAGATTAGAATGTTATTAAAATTGTCAAAGAAAGGAACTGAACTGAATGATCGATGCAAGAAAAAATAAACAGGGAAATACAATTGGGAAACTTGAATACATGGCATCTCAATGGATTATTGGATTGTTGATTATTGAATTCCCTGGTAAATAGAGTGTAAAGTTGGTGCGGCAAATGGCAGTCTTGGCCCGAGGCAACGGTCTTAACTGGGGAGGAATCCAAAGCGTTCATTAAACTTTCTTTCACTCCCCATACTCTGTCCATAGTTTTCAGGTCGAAGAGCGTATGATGGAGATGGAAAACGAACGACAAATTTCAAAAATTGTTAGAAGAAGTGTTAAAGTTAGAATTAGTGCATTAGTTATGGTTAGTGTTAAAGTTACAATTAGTGTTAAAGTTTCAAGTAGTGTTAAAGTTTCAAGTAGTGTTATAGTTGGGGGCAAAGTAAAGTAAGATGCAGTATCGAGTGTTAATAAATGACAAACATAATGACATAGGTGTGCCTGAGTTTTGTCATCTAGCATAAATTAAATAAAGATTATGGGATAAATTACACAAATTACAACAGTTTGATTAGTCCAGGTTTAAATCGGTCGGAAACTTACTTTTTTATACATTATTCACAACTGTGTGTTTTTACATTAGTATATAAAAGATACCAAAGATGTCGCAGAAATTTCAGAAGCCTTTAACTTTAAGAAAGCCAAGTCCGAACTTACCACTGTTTTTAACCAGTGGTAAGTTTACTCGGTCATCACAATTTTTCTTCAAGTTTATATATTTCGATACATAAATATATTTTCAAATGTGTATATTCTGAATGGATGAAAACTTTCCTATCTATAAAAAGAAAATCTTACCAATCTATTAGCTGGTTTGGACTCGTCCTGTGTGTGTGAACCTATGTTGGCGTTGTCCACCTTCTCACAATTTACAACGTCCTCGTCTGTGTCAGGTTTAATTTGACTAACGGGTGTCACAACGGTGGAATCCACATGAGCAGCGCGGCAGGCACTGACGCACGGGACCTCGGGCGTCTGGAGACTGTCTGGCCAGGAGGTCCTGGTCGAGAGAGACCTTCCGTCCACACCGCTTACGGGCGGTGGCGTTGAGGATGACTGACCAGCTGCTGGGGCATTAGCTGAACTAGGGTCAGTTGAAGTCGGCTCCGACTTCATCACATTCTCCGGGGAATCGCCAACACCGCCAGCTTCGGCGTTCGTGTGGGCGGTCGTGTTGGTCGGCAGCGGCGTGTCCGGCGACTGAGTGTTGGCCGGGGGCTTATTAAGTTCTTCTTTGGGTGGCTCTGTTAGAGCTGACGTTCCCTCCTGGTCGCCTGTGGGATTCATTATGGAGTCCTTGAACTTTCTTAACTTGTTGCCCATGTTGGGATTTGAAACTAACGGTCAATGATTCGTCACATGAAGAGAACACCGACCGGCGCTAATAAGTTTGGCCGGAATCCTTTACAAAGGCCAGATGTATCCACAATTTGGTTTGAACACACAGCTATTCCCGGGGAAATCTTTCTCAGTGTAATCCAAGAATGAAATAATTTAACACGATAGACTTATTCGTAACCAATTTCGTCACGTATGGCATTAGTTACACATTAAACATTTTGAAATACATTAAGAACAAAAAATTTACAAATGACAACTGTTAAATTCGAATGTTAAATTAACTGTTCTTTGTATCACCAAGCTTTCACCAATACAACTTGCTTAATCTCACACTGACACATTGCATGTTTTACAAACTATGAAATTGCGATACGTTAATATCAGTAAGATGTATCAAGAACTTAAGCAAATAAAAACATGGACAGTGGAAGTGTTTGTATCCAAATGAAGATTCAGAGCCTAGCGGAGTATGCCACCAAATCAAGTGAAATCAAAATACAGTATTGAAATCTAGTCAGAAAAGATCCTCGGCCAAACAAGGCAAACTATATAATCAACTTATTAACCAAGTTAAGACGTGATCTAACACCAAAAATTTCAGATGACCGTAACTGACTTTAGAACACTTTTTTTCTAACTGACTTTTATAACACTTATTATTTGACCAAAAAACGGATTAAACTTGTACAAGTTAAATATAAGGTAAAACGGGTTAACCCACCCAACAACTCCTACGAATGACAAGTCAAAATAGTTAAAGTTACTTTCAAACCGATAAGTACAATTAAACATTAAAGTTAAACTTCCTTATCATGATCAAGTCTCTATCAATAACGTTGAGGGAAAGGATGATATTGCTTTATGCCCAACACCCCGGCGGGAAAAAAACAAAAAAAAAACTTCTGGTTCTATTCTATGCAACAGATCTTAATCTTAGTTACAACTATCGTTGTCGAATTTTTTAATTCTAACCTATTTGTATTTCACCTCTAATCATTCAAATGTATTTTGCTCTCATGCACTCATCCCTAGTAGTTGGTTGACTGTAACGTTTCCCCGGGTCGTGTTCCAGAACACACACCAGAAAAAGGCGTCGCTGGTACTTTGTTACTGCCAACCTCAGGGGCACATGAGGATCGCCTGTAGGGCCCGAATGACAAGTATCGATAAAATGTGTACTTGGCGCAATTTTGGTGGGTGCGGTGTGGAGGCACAGGGCGGGGGGTTTTGGAAACCTACACGTAGAGCTTAGGGTATTGTAAGCCTAGGCGTAGAGCGGTGGGGTATTGGAAACTTAGACGTGTGGGGTGGTTAACTATGGTTCACTAATTTTTGTCTTTTTGAACAATTTACGGAACAGACAGCCCTGTAGCTAAATCTGTGGAGTTGAGCTAAAAATAGAAACACTTTCAGCGTGATTGCCAGCAATGAAGACTTTGGAGAGGTTGACGAACTCTAACATTAGACATGGCGGAAGTACGCACCAAACCACACCCCAATCTGAAATTGGGGTCTGATTTTGTTTGATATGTTTCTAGTAGAGAAGCAAAAGATACTTTCAAGTATTGCATTAGATACATGCATTTTTAAACTTAATACCATAAATATAAGTCTAAAGATGACATTTTTTTAGTTTCCACTGTCGACTATTTAGGCTTCAGCAACTGATAATATGCTTCAATCGCTGAACATAGCTTAAGCAACTAAAGATGGTCTTCAGCAACTGAACATAGTCTTCAGTAAATGAGCATAGTCTTCAGTAGCTGAACATAGTCTTCGGTACCTGAATATAGTCTTCAGCAACTGAAAATGGTTATAAGCAACTGAACATAGTCTTAAGTAATTGAAAATGGTCTTCATTAACTGAACATAGTCTTCACTAACATGGTCTTCATTAACTGAACGTATTAATCAAACTTCAGATTCATATCATAGCCTGAAGTAAAGATTCTTATCATAGCCCAAATTAAAACTTCAGATCCTTTTATAGCCTAAATTGAACCTTCAGATTCCCATCATTGCCTAAGTAAACCTTCAAATTCCCATTATAGCCTAAATTTAGCCTTCAGAGTACCATCATTTCCTAAAGTAAACTTTTATATTCTCATCATTGCCTAAAGTAAACCTTCACATGTTTATCATAGTCTTAAGTAAACCTTCAGATTCTCATCATAGACTTAAGTAAACTTTCACATTGTCATCATAATATTCAGTAAATCTTCAGATTCTCATTAGAGCCTTAAGTTAACCTTCACATTTTCATTATAGCTTTTAAGTAAACCTTCATATTTTCATCATGGCCTTCAGTAAACCTTCAGATTATCATCATAGCCTTCAGTAAACCTTCAGATTCTCATCATAGCCAGAAGTTTCGGAAGAATAAATAATTACATAACATTTATATTTATTTTCTTAGTTGTCAGAAACACAATATGTGACATAAATGACCAACCGGACATCCGTGTTCACAAACAAAACCACCCTTGTCTGATTCCACGGACTGTCGTACATGTCTGTACACTAACAATATACCCCTTCTGATCACAAGCGCGTGGGGTGTCTGGTGGCAAAGAGGGTAGTGCTGTGGGACTGTCAGATATCTATGTACAATGTACACTAACAATATACCCCTTGTGATCACAGGGCCGATCAGATATCTATGTACAATGTACACTAACTATATACCCCTTCTGACCACAGGGTCAATCCGATATCTGTGTACAATGTACACTAACAATACACCCCTTCTGATCACAGGGACTTCAGATATCTATGTACAATGTACAATAACAATACACCTCTTCTGATCACAGGGCCGGTCAGATATCTATGTACAATGTACACTAACAATACACCCCTTCTGACCACAGATATCTATGTATAATGTACAGTAACAATACACCCCTTCTGATCATAGATATCTATGTATAATGTACACTAACAATACACCCCTTCTGATCACAGGGACTATCAGATATCTATGTACAATGTACTCTAACAAATAAACACCTGTCTGATCACACGGACTGCCAGACACGTGTCTGATCACACAGACTGCCAGACACGTGTTTGATCACACAGACTGCCAGACACGTGTCTGTTCACACAGACTGCCAGACACGTGTTTGATCACACGGACTGCCCGACACGTGTCTGATCACACTGCCAGACACGACTGGCGGTGATGACTGATAATTGCGTTCCAAGCAGGTACACGCAAATCGACGTTTGATAACCAATAACACTCAAGAGGAACACACAAAAGAACTTCGTTAATATTTATACCTCGTCTCTCAACGACAACTCACCGATTGATGTAATGACAAGAACTGCGCCCAAAGAAATGGTTCCTAAAATACTGAGCTCTTCAATTATGTAGCGCAGAGCTCCGCAACCGATGCGCCTCGGCACTCTGGTGTGCCGCGAGACAATGCTAGGTGGGCCGCGGCTGAATTCCTCCGCAGAGGATGAAAAACACGTGAAGACAATAACGCTTTCTTCAAACAAAAGAGACAATGGTTGGCTTATTAACAAGCAGACATGGGTGTTAAATAGCCCAGTTCAACTGCGGGTTTAAAATTGGGGGCTCACGCGACAAGTCGCCATCTCGATCTTTGAGTCAATGTGTCTGAAGCGACCAGTAAAGTATAGTCCTGTCGCTTTGGCCTTTTTATCACACGCTTTTCGCCTGTAATGTGGACCGCTTTAATTGGTATTGTTTTCTGGTTTCCACTACGCAAGTAACATTTCTTTACCGATAAATGATACAGACTCAACACAAACCCTATCAAGAATGAGGGTACCGAAGATTTTTTACCTGATCTCTTGATACAGTCAATGATGGAACCGAAGATCTTTTACCTGATCTCTTGATACAGTCAATGATGGTACCGAAGATCTTTTACCTGATCTCTTGATACAGTCAATGAGGGTACCGAAGATTTTTTACCTGATCTCTTGATACAGTCAATGATGTAACCGAAGATCTTTTACCTGATCTCTTGATACAGTCAATGATGGTATCGAAGATCGTCTATCTGATCTCTTGATACAGTCAATGATGGTACCGAAGATCTTTTACCTGATCTCTTGATACAGTCAATGATGGTATCGAAGATCGTCTATCTGATCTCTTGATACAGTCAATGAGGGTACCGAAGATTTTTTACCTGATCTCTTGATACAGTCAATGAGGGTACCGAAGATTTTTTACCTGATCTCTTGATACAGTCAATGATGGTACCGAAGATCTTTTACCTGATCTCTTGATACAGTCAATGATGGTACCGAAGATCTTTTACCTGATCTCTTGATACAGTCAATGATGGTACCGAAGATCTTTTACCTGATCTCTTGATACAGTCAATGAGGGTACCGAAGATCTTTTACCTGATCTCTTGATACAGTCAATGATGGTACCGAAGATCTTTCATCTGATCTCTTGATACAGTCAATGACGTTTTAATCATACGACATGTATTATTTCTTTTATTACTTTTGTGTGGCTTGTGTTGTTTACGGCAATTATATAAAGTATGATTACTTGACCCACGATTTCATAAGTAAGTTAGAAACTCGCTGCTTTTAGTATTATCAAAATGACATTTTCATTGCGTGTTTAAACGGTAGTGTTTATTTGTGATCAATCAGTACATAGAAAGAGCGTTGGGAATCAGTAATGCAGCTACAACACACCGCACGGATATAAGACGTTGTGTCAAAATAGTGAACAGAAAGTAGATGGATGAAAATATTCTACGGCAGCGTTTTCCAAACTTGTAAGCATGTCGGACCGGTGGATAAGTTTCGAAACCACACCAGGGACCAGCGCCAGATTGATAATTATAATGTATTTTATTTGAACATAAATCTTCACCAGTGCCAGACTGATCATTATACTCATTTTATTTGAACATAAATCTCCATGTACTGCGGACCAGCATCGTGTGGCTGGTGGGTCGATGCTGGTCCACGGACCACCATTTGGGGAACGCTGTTCTAAGTGATTTTCGAAAAGCAGTGATGAATCGACTCCAAAACCTGAGTGTATAATTTGC